GTCGTGAAATTTTACCCCCCCAAGGAATTTGCTCAGTCTACGGCACTGGCATGGATGCATGAGCGGCAGGCGTTTGTTGTGATAGATAGAAGGGGAGAGAGCATGAGAGAGGAGGAGAAGGAGAGAGAGAGAGAGGGGAGGGAGAGACAGCGAGAGAGGAGAGAGAGGGGAGGGAGAGAGAGAGAGTGCAAGCAGGGATGTAGCCTCTGGGAGGGGGAGGTTTAATGGGGGCAGCTGCCACCCTAGATTTTGGAGCAATATTACAAAATAAGCTTAGCTAATAATCGTAAATAACTCTAACGTGATTTTTTCCGGTCACTTATCCGTTAGAGCCTTGTCTCAGACCCACCCCTACCGCACTATGGACGTCGATCAAGAGCTGCGCCCGTCGCTCATCATTACACAGTTGAGTCGTGAAATTTTACCCCCCCAAGGAATTTGCTCAGTCTACGGCACTGGCATGGATGCCTGAGCGTCAGGCGTTTGTTGGGATAGATAGAAGGAGAGAGAGCATGAGAGAGGAGGAGAAGGAAAGAGAGAGAGAGGGGAGAGAGAGACAGCGAGAGAGGAGAGAGAGGGGAGGGAGAGAGAGAGAGAGAGGAGAGAAAGGGGGAGGGAGAGAGGAGAGAGAGGGGGAGGGAGGGAGAGGGAAGGGAGAGAGAGGGAGAGAGGAGAGAGGGGGAGAGAGAGGGGAGGGAAAGACAGCGAGAGAGGAGAGAGAGAGCGAGATTAAAAAGTGGAGAGCCGTCGTCGCGTTACGTTGCACGGGGAGAAGAATTGGTGCGCGGGAGGTCGTGTTACAGCGGATCTCCCAAGAAAGCACGCGCAATTAAGAAGTTAGAAGTATAAAAAGGACACGAACTCGGATTATAGAACAAATTTGCAAAGTTGTACAAGTTTTTTCTCTTTAAACGTTTAGCTCAGTTACTTTATTAAACCTTATAACTGTCACTATGACATGCATGCAGTGTTGCATGCACAGGACAAGACGGCAGACATGTATGCACTTACCGAAACCAATGCAGATTCTTCGAAACGCTTTGCAAAATATCCACGCACATTCTCCTCCCACGTTTTCTCATCATTATCTGTGGAAATTAATTGTACGATCTTGTATATTGCTGTATGAATTACGAATAGCAATTAGCATATATCTAAATTAAGTACAGCAATATCAATTGTCTGGACAGTCAGTCAGAACACGCTTCTACGCGTCTGCCACTGCCACTGCCATGCGACTGCCATGCGACTGTCACTGCCATGCGACTGCCATGCGACTGCCATGCGACTGTCACTGCCATGCGACTGCCATGCGACTTGACTCGTGACGACGTTCCACGATTCATCGTATTGTTCACGGACGTGGCTTCACGAACCTATGAACAACGGCAGAAACGAACCCACACTTCTCAAACCGTCGCAGTTTGACTTTAATACGAGCGAAATATCAAAAGCATCACTTTTTAGGGGGAATTTTCGAAAACATAGGGGCTTTCTGTACACGATTTATTATATATACAGCAGTAAAATCAACTACGATTAACGAGTGTTTACGTCTCACCGTCGTCTGCTCTTGTCCGCGACCGCTTCTGCTCGGTCGTCATGGCAACGCCCGCTCCCGATGACGTCTCGTCCATCTCCACGTCGTCGTTCCGAGTTCCCGTTGCTATGGATACCGGATCAGCGACCGACGCATGTCCATTGTGGCCTGAAATGCGATGAAGGTATAACGATCAATTTACAATTGATTGCAGTTGAGAACGTGGACGTTAAGAAACCCTACGGGTCATCCCTATCCAAATCACCTACCATTCAGCTAACAATCGACCAGAAGCTGCATCCTTCTCTCGCGACGTACGACTTGGCCGAGCCACGAAAAATCCCCCCACCCTCCTCACCACCGTTAAAAATTCTAGGACTTGGGAATTAAAAATAGGTGGCGCCCGCGCCCTTCCCACCGCGCGCACACTCCCCGCCCGCGACGATCGCCAACTCCGCTCGGCCAAGCCCCCGAAAATCCCCTCCCCGCCGCTAGAAATTCTAGGAATTAAAGATAGGTGGCGACACCTCCGTTCCCCGCGCGCGCGCACTCACCGCCGCCGGGGACCTCCCGCGACGCGTCGTCGTCGTCGTCGAGCGCTCGCTTGCTGCGCGCGGCGACGCTGGACGTGGAGGCGACGGCGCGGCCCTGCGTCTGCCGCGCGTGCCCGGTCTTCACCCACACCGCCTCGCCCGGCACGGGCACGCAGTACAGCACCTCGCGGTCGCTGGGGCGGTTACAGGGAGACTCCAGCAGCACCTCCTCGTGCGGCTGCAGGGAGGGACAACGTCAAAGAGTTAACGCCAATAAATAATAATTAATCTCCAAGGGAGTCTAACGCGGGTCTCCACGGTCGCGTCGAGTGACGCGGTCGTTCGTCTGATCTACGTGTGGGGCAGGTCAGAGGATATTATTATTTATTATTGAATCTTTATTGCATGAATTCAGATACAAATACATGTACTGACGACAGATTTTTTCATGGAGAAAAAATCTGATAAAAGCGATAGTGTTGAGTAGTTAAAATGATACAATTTCTGACGGATATGTGACCACGTGAGCGGTCAAGCTGTATAGCTCTGGGTGAGGCATCCACTTCTTGCACGTTAATAATTATTACATTCATGAACGCGTTAAATTTTCATAACAAGCTGTTTGAATCTACGCTGTAACGTAAACCCTTGCATCGCCACCGCGTAACATCGCCATGTATCACGCTTTAACCACTCTGCCACCTGTGCCCACCGAGCGAACCACTAAAAAAATCCGCGATCAACTTCGCCGACTCACCCCGCACTCGGCCACGTCCCTGTACTTGCCGACCTTGAGCCTGCGCTCGCCGGACTGCCGGTGGCGGACCTCGTAGACGCGCAGGTAGTACTCGGGGTCGTACATGTCCTGCACCATGCAGCGGAACCTCACGAGGCTGTCCGCGGCGAGGTCGTGCAGCGGCACGTCGTTCAGCGACGGAATCTGCGCAGACGCGAAACGACGATTAGATGAAGCCAGCGACGGTGCATGGACGGAATCTGCGCGCGGGGTGGAAAAACGGAGCGCAGGACGTGGCGTTAAGGAGGATCACCCTAGAGAGAGAAAGAGAGAGAAAGAGGGAGGGAGAGAGAGAGAGAGATGAGAGGGGAGGGAGAGAAAGAGTGCAAGCAGGGCCGTAGCCTCTGGGAGGGGAGGTTTAATGGGGGCAGCTGCCACCCTAGATTTTGGAGCAATATTACAAAATAAGCTTAGCTAATAATCGTAAATAACTCTAACGTGATTTTTTC